GGTGGGGGGCCCTGATGTGACCCTCTCCTGGCCTGCTCTGGGAGTCCCGGGCCACAGCTCATTGTTTCCTCTTTCATTTGTTTTGTTTCTCCCACTCTCTCCTTGTGGATGTTTATTGTTTGGATTTCTTGATGATTCAATGGCTCTTATATATATATAAGAGCCATGTATATATATATATATATAGTATATATATATATACACATATATAGCAACTCAGGTTGTTGTTTGTTTTATCACCTATTAGATACTGTAGAATGTTGCTCCCATTTTAGAAAACATAGCCTCATATGTTTTGAAAGACACTTGCTATGGTCCTTTATTAATTTTGAGTAGTTCTCTAATCCTATAAAATAGATTGTAAGTTGATATGTAGTTAAGCTCCTAATACGGAAATTGAGTTAACTTTCAATTAATAGGTGGCATTAATATGTCTTGCAGATGGGAGTCTTGTTGAAGAGGAAAAGGCAAATTAAGTAAATACCCTTCTCTGTGGTCTTTTGGAGATATTGGTTACTACAAATGATTAGGTGTGATTATCGTTCATAAAGACATTGAACTTGTTAATACTCATTCCTTGAACTGTGAGGTTTGCAGGAACTATGAAAGGTCATTTAGGCCTTCTCGCCAGCTTTGAGCAAAAAATAAAATAACTGCAGGCTATTATAAAGTCACGCTGTTTTTTACAGACTTCCTGAAAGGAGATTTTACAATCTCCCTCAGAAGCACAGTGCAGGGTTTAACAACCCTTACTGTAGAAAAGGTCATTTTAATATCTAACTAGAGTCCCAGTTTCTATAATAAAAAGCCATGTCCTCCCCCTCAGTCTCTGTTAGAGATGGTGAAGACTTGGTTATTAGCTTCATCATAACTGAAGGGTCCTTGAGCACCTACTGGGGTCTATTCTGCTCTTCTTACAACGCTTTATGCATTAGGACCGCCTAGAGGCATTTGACCGGGCCCCTCTCTCCCGGCAGAGGAGCCCAGCAGCTAGGACGCTCCTCAGTAGATTCTGCCTAATCTGGGATACAAGCCATTTCTCAGTCAGTCCTTTCCTGTTGTTTCTCTAACCTGTAGGTTGTACATGACCATTATTTGTACCACATGAGGGTTCTTCCAAATTTTTCCTTAAGTTCTTGTGTCTCTTAGAGGAAAATAGAGACGAAAACTCAGGAAAGACATCAATGACATGTCGATACATAAAGCTTTGTTCACCTAACAACATCAGAGAAAAGTACCCTGGGCCCACAAAAAGCACAGCCCGATCACGTCAGGGGGTATTGACACTTTTGTTCAAGATCACCCTGAGAAAACAAATCAGCAGCACGGATATATGTGAGCGAGCAGAGAGGCATAAACACATACATGGGTAAATGTGGAGCATCCCTGCGGCACGGGTTCTAAAATCAACCTCAGGCTGTGAGTTCCTTAACTCTTCCCACAGTTTGAGGCCAGGCAAGAGATCAATCAATAGTTACCCACATGATTTGCATATTTCTGTGGGAAAATTATAGAGATATTACTGCTTTTGAAGAGATTAAAGCAGTAGGGAGAATACCCTGGCACTCAGATAGTTAACAATACAAAGTATGTTCCAAAATGTGTTCTAGGAACGAGAAGGGCAGAAGAGTTGAGAAGACCACAGGTTGAAGGCTTGGCTGGATTGATCAGGACAGTGACTTTCGTAGAGGAGGGTTTCGTCAGTGACTTTCTACTGACGGGTGGGTAGAGAGAAGTGGGTAATGCCTAGATGCCCAGTGGGGTGGGGGATATAGCACCGTGACCTGCGACTGTAATGCACATGGCAGACAGGGCCATGACCCAGCTGGCATCCACCTAGCACGTAGATTCATTAGGACTGAGTTCGGGGTGCTGGGCAGAGCCGCAGAGGTGCGCATGAACACAGCCATGGGCACTGTGCTGTCAGGCCCTGGGCCGGAGTGAAGAGAGAGAGAGAGAGAGAGAGAGAGACGTGATATTCCACAGCGCCCGCCTCCACATGCCCAAGGCTCTGGCGGAAGCCAGGCGGTGAACGTGGCCTGGACCCCTCAGGCCCTCCTTGGCCAGCTCTGAACAGACGTGGACAGCAAACCAATTACATGTTGTACACTGCACACAGAAATCCTGTGGGGAAAACCGCTCTGTTTACCTGGAAGGACAGATGAGAAAATGGTGAGAAGGGGAAAAGAAACACAAAAGAAAGAGGTAAATAAAGTAAAAACAGGTGGAGAGAAAAGGAATGAGAAGCCCTATGACCCAGCTCCTTTGGGCGAGAATGTCCGACCAAGTCTCCCTAGGCGCGCACGCGGCCGGAGGACCGGCATGCTACCCGTGCAGCTCAGCTGGCTGCAAGGATGTCATCCCTGCCTTGTCTTTCACCATTTTTTGACAAGAAACAACCGAAAATATGCACCACGTGTTAATGCAGCCGTACATCCTCATTTCCATTGTATGATTGGTCTGCAACAAGTGTTTGTTGAATTAATGAAATTATTGGATCTTGACCTTGAACATTCCCAGGACAGATTGTTCTTATAAAACGAATGCCACTTTGCTTACCTTTCTATAGGTCCACTTCCCTGACTTACAACTTCGAGCTCAGACTGTCCCACCACCTGCCAGGGTACCCTATAAGGACTCAGTGCCTCTCCGTGCAGGTCCCTGCCCTGGCCTTCCCCATCCTACCCCCCAATCCTCTGCACTTATTTTTCAGAATTCTGTAATTCAGTATTTCATTCTCTTAAGTCAAATAGATTCTGCAAATATTTCTGGAAAAGGTACCACATTGAGCCGTATCAAACCTTTAAGCCTCAGTCTGAAGGCATATGTTGAGTTTATTCCTAAAAACAGGATTTGTATCTGGAGGGAGAAGGAGAATTCTGGTACCTGGGTAGCAGGATTGTGGAAACACAAAGCACAAGGTAGGAATTCAGAGGAACACAGACAATTTGTTCCTGCTACTCCGTTTTGTCCTAGTATGTTCATGGCAGTGAACATCCTTAAACTCCCCTTGAAGCAGGAGTATTTTGCCCTGGTCATGGCTCCTGGTCCTCCCTATTTTAGTACCTGGGAAGCTAACAATGTCTTTGTCTCTGTGTTGCTAACTCAGCACCAGAGCAGCTTCAGTCAGTGCATGGCAAGGCTGTTTCTCAGTATGTGCTCAGTGGCTGAGCAGGTGTGTTTTCCCCAGATACACCTTTTTAGATGATAGTGTCATCAGTCAGCAGAGCCCAAGGAACTAGAGGGACAGGGGGAAGAAGCTAATTGGTTTCAGTCCAGAGTTCTCTCACTGCTCCTGGTTCCCTGGCTTGCCGCATCTGTTATCTTCTGTGTCCTCTGTCTTCTCTGTGTATAATTATTCCCTCCGAGGAACTTAGTTCAGTAGAGGGAGGCTGCCGGTGTAAGTGAGATGATAGTCGCTCTGCTGTGTGCCGGAAGGCAGGAGGTTGGTTTCCATCACCATGCATGTAGATCTTGATGGTCAGAGAAGACCACCACAGATGCCTCCAGTGCCATCCCTCCCCTCTGGGCCATCATAAACTTAGAATTAAAGCCTAAATCACACCCTGTTTCTCAACACCTCCTAGGCTGTTATGATTATTAAAAATGATAATCCTCTTGACCTTTCAGATATTTTTCTTTTGGATGGGTGCGCTCTCTCTGGTGAATTATTTCTATGTGTTTACTGCCCCATTACTGAACTGGTTCTGCTTGACTTTCCTTGTTCACTCTTAAATTTGGTAGCACCTTATTTTACAGTCCACTAACTTTGTTGAAAATAAATTCATTTTGTGTGGTTAGTAGTACTCATTTGATAACATAAGTACCATATGAGGGTGCAGCAAATGAATAGTAAATGCCATACAATTACAAGATAAATGTATGATGGCTTTATTTTATCCTCTAAACCCAGTACAAGGTGACAGAGTAATTACTTTGGGATCTATTAAGTGTTCTCACCACATAATCTGTAGGGAGATTAATTGTGTAGTTAGCACTTGCCAGCCTCCATTTCTACACACTTTCCAAGATTATACCTCTTTTAGGATTACGTGGTCTCAGATGGTTCACATACTGAATTGCAGTAGCCATGACAAATGGCTACTTCCAGAATGAACCACACCCAGTGTGAATCCAGCAAATGAGTTGGAAAGCAGCTCAAACATTTCTTGGGGGATGGGGAGAGAGCCACATTCTAAATTCAAACTAACGCTTTTATTTTTGCTTTGCTTATGCATTCACTAGGATGGAGTAGGAGAGGTATGGGAGAAACAGCATGTACCCCGTTAGAGACCAGCCCTCTTCCACAGAAATGGATTAAATCTAGCACTTAATGGTGCTAGAAAACATTTACCGTGGACTTCTGAGGACATAAGACCAGGACCTCCATATCTCACAGTAGAAATGCTCTCATAATGATCGTAAAGACCCCAAACCAATGTTGTCAATGTTCTCTTCAACTGAGTGACATATGCCAAAGCTGAAATTAATGCCTGTGAGCCCTGGTCTTCTCTCTCTTGACTCACCAACCGCGTATAAACTCATCCTTGACCTGTGGATGCATGCAGCCCAAGTCATATATAAGCAGAGCAGTTCACCCACATTTTGTCATTGTATGTGGATCTCACGTCTATCCACAAACAGAAATACAATACAAAAAATATGTTGCAGGTAAATATGATCTCCTAAAACAACTAAATTAAGGAGTAGTCTATTTTTATTTAAAAAATACTCTTTGCACAATTGATTTTCTTTGAGATTCTATTACATGGAAAGCTACCTTAATGCAGTTAAGGTATTTGACTAGTGTCCCTTTGATTTACCCAAGATATTTTAGAACACGAATATTGTGTGAAAATGAGTACACCTGTGGCTAGCTGCCTGTGTCATTTCCTCTGAGGAGTAACTCCAAAAATCCAGTAGCTTTTCATTTTGTGTCCTAGGATGGCTTTCTGGCCCTGCCCATGTTGGCCATTTAGGCATTCTCTTGTGTCTTTCAGGTATTGAGAACGCCAGCGACATCGCTTTGTACTCAGGCCTGGGCGCTGCCGTCGTGACCGTGGCGGTCCTGGTCATCGGCGTCACCCTGTACAGACGGAGCCAGAGCGACTATGGCGTGGACGTCATTGACTCTTCTGCATTGACAGGTGGCTTCCAGACCTTCAACTTCAAAACAGTCCGTCAAGGTCAGCAGCGTAGGGCCCCCCAGCACCCCGTCCTCAGGACCGTAGACGACGCCCACACAGGACCCCCAGGGCTCTTTGGCCCTGTGTGAAGGTAGCTCTTGGCATTGGCAGCCGCTACCCAATTGTGTGCACACATGAGGAAATCAGGCTCCACAGAGCCGTCTGCTTACATCCTCACACACTGTGAGCGTAAATGAAGCTCAGTTTACCATTAGCAGCATTTGAAATGAGGCATTTCCATCTTCAATTTGTAGTGAGTTTAACAAGTTATTTTATCTCAGATTATCCAACTTTGTATTTTAACAAGCCCACTTTAAACATGTATATTCACATTAGTTAACTAAAATACTGATTATTCAAGGCCGAGGACTAACTACTGTACCACAACCTGCCAGGCATGTTTAGTACACTATTTATTAGGTGGAGTTATTTTTGTTCTATTTTAAATAAGTGAAAGGAGTTTAGAGGAAATGTGATGGGCCAGTCAGCCAGGAGAAAAATGAAATTCCCAGCCTAAATGACTCTGAACTGTTGGCAAGTCAAGGCAATCTTTTGTGGAGGGAGAAGCAAAATCTATCATGTCAAACTATAGCAATTCTCAAGTTCAAAACTGAGAGTCATTTAATTCTCTTACATGAACCAAATCTATTCTTGATCGTGAGAGGGGGATGAAACATACACGACTTTTATCTTAGAAAAAATGAAACCATCTCCCTTTGAAGGATGACATCTTCTGCCTTGACGGTCATCGCCCAACTGTCATCTTTATTTCTGTGTCTTGCTCACCAGCAGCACCTGTAGCTCAGGACCCGAAGGCTCACTGCCTGACAGGCTGAGTAGAGACCAGGTTCTGAAGTAGCAACCCAAGCTTGCCAGAAACTGAGAGACGGCCTGGAGGGAAAATCGTGACTGCTTGCCACTCCCTAGCACCATAATTTCAGGTCTGAGTCTCCTCGGCCTCAGAGAGACACATACCCTCAATGAGTATATGTAATTCAATTAGAAAGAATACAATATCCACCTCAAAGGGATCCTGTGAGGATGAAATGACCTGGAATAGCATGAGTTATCAGCTGTTGGCATGTGGAAGGTGCTCAATAAATGTAGTGATTTTGTTCTAGAAGCTGCTTGTCTCCTATTACCCTGGCGCCAGGATGTGTTCCAGAAAGAACAGGCAGCAGGGGAGAGGGGTCCTTCCCTGTCTGAACATCGGAGAATGTCAACTTGCATAAGCTTAAACACATCTCCTTGCTGTGTGGCTTCTCAGAACTTATGTGAATAAATATGTACCCTTTCCAGACTTATTTTACCATGCTTTTATTTTTTGACCAAGAATCTCACAAAACTAGTGATACTAAGCAAAGATCCTTTACGACAATTCTACTCTACCTAATATTCATGGTGATGATAAACCACGCATTGGTGGTCACAGCGTTTCACCTCTGATGCCTCAGAGACACCCTTTCTTTTTTTGAGATTTGCATTTTTTCAATTGCAGTAGAGTTGATCCACAATATTACATGGGTTTCAGGTGTACAACACAGTGATGTGACCTTATATACGTTACTAAATGTGCACCATAAGTGTAGCTACCATCTGTCACCATACATTATTACAATATTATCGACTATATTCCCTATGCTGTATTTTGCATCCCCATAACTTATCTACTTCATATTAGAAATTGGTACCGCTTGATTCCCCTTCATCTATTTCACCCATTGCCCACCTCCCTCCCCTCTGGCAACCACCACTTTGTTCTCTGTATTTATGAAGACACATCCCTTCTGGAGCAAAAATAGTCAGAGCCCCAGAAAGGTGAACATGGAGACATTTAAACAGAATGACATGCTTCAAGTAGTACAGGAACCTTCAAAAAGACTTCCAAGAAAGAAACTTGCATCCGGTCAGCATGAGTGTCCCTGATCAGACTTGCATCCGGTCGGCAGCCAACTTACTTTGACAGTAGACTCAGTCATATGTCCGTACTTTTAATAAAAGGCACCTTCCACATGAGCTAGATGTAAGTCTAACTCAGAGATATTTTTGCTGCTTGGTTTTGCCTGGGTTGGGAGAGTATTTTAAGAGAAGCAAGAAATTCAACTTCAGAAAGTAAGAGCATGAGGTGGAAGAGCCGTGAGATTCAGGGCTGTAATGTGTCAGTCTTGGTAGAAACGCCTATTTCAGACTCTTTTAAGATGTGAGATGGCTCTTAAGTTCTGCTTCCAGCCTGGGAAGCCCACAAACAAGAACAAGGCTGGGATCGTAAAACTAAATGCAGTTCTGTTAAGAAACAACAGTTTCCCAGTTGTGCCTGTATTTGGCATGAGAGCCTTAAGCCTGAGAAAAGTGCATCATCACGTAGCCTTTAGAACTAAAGCGTATGTCATCTCACTGCAAACCACCTCCTTTGTGATTCTGGATTCTTATAGCATCAGAACAAGAGGTGGGGAAAGTCAGGGCCATAGATTTGCTGCTGGTGTTACAAATTATGAAAATGGCAAAACAATAGAAGCTAATACAATAAAGCCTAGGATTGCAACATTTTCAAAAATATCATCCTTGAAACCAATTTGACAGGCCCCAAAGAAAAATGGTTTAATGTGGTTCATGTTTCAATCTGAGAAGTCACACTGACAGACTGATACCGGTGGGAGGTTTGGGACTGAGGGTCATTTTGTTATTTACTAATAAATGAGGTTGCTTCATCATGAGAAAATGTCACCACATTTCTTTTTAATAATTTGGCTTGGAAAGAATTGGCAAGCCCCAACTGATGAGAAAGTTCAATTTCTCATGTTTATGTAAAGATTATTTTTTGTCCCTTTGCTTTGAGGCAGAAAGGAAGCCAGTCTAAGCTGCTGCCCACGTGGAATCTTCCACTGTCCCTGTGTGGTGCGCCTTTCCCTCTTAGAGTGACATCTGCGTTATTAGAGCAAATTGGCTTCTCAGAGACGGAGCAGTTCGTGAGGTCCCCTGAACCTGTTTGCTGTGAGGATGCAGCACTGCCTCCTCTCGCTCCAGAAAGTGCCCAGATTTCCTCTGGAGACGTGCTTGCACAAATGCCGCTCCATTATAAACAGCACTACCTCGTCACCACGCTGTGTCATCTCATGCCATTTAAAAGGAACAGATGTTATTTTTGCTCCAAACTGGATTGCAAAACATCTTGCTTTTTTTCTCTCTCTCTCTCTTCCATAAGCTTCTCTTTGCCCGTTGAAATAGTTGCACCAACAATAACACCTGAGTTAGCTGCTGGACAGAGTGTCTGAAATACTTGCTTTTTGACAAGACTGCATACAAGGAGCTCAAAGTAGATGATTTTGGTCAGCAGCTTTCAGAGAATCAGCTGTGAAAGCCAGGGCTCCTGATTCCAAGGCTCTGGTCACTAATGAGCGGCCTGATGGAGCCCCCAATGACCAGCTCTGATTGGAGCAGCCAGCGCGCGCACGCACGTGTTGGGGAGTTAGCAGAGGCAGATGTAGAGGGGTAAGTGTGACGCCTTTTAGTTTCCGAGTGACAGATCAATTTTCTTTCACCAGGTAACTCCCTGCTCCTGAATTCCTCTATGCAGCCAGATCTGACTGTGAGCCGAACATACAGCGGGCCCATGTGTCTGCAGGACCCACTGGACAAGGAACTCATGACAGAGTCCTCGCTTTTTAACCCTTTGTCGGACATCAAGGTCAAAGTGGAAAGCTCATTCATGGTTTCCCTGGGAGTGTCTGGGAGAGCTGAGTACCATGGCAAGAGTCATTCTGGGACTTTTCCCCATGGAAACAGCCGCAGCTTTACTGCCATGCATCCCAGAAATAAAGCACCCTACATCCAACACCTGTCATCCCTCCCCACAAGGACAGAACTGAGGACCACTGGTGTCTTTGGCCATTTAGGAGGACGCTTAGTGATGCCAAATACAGGTGGGTGGTAAGTGTACGTTTGTGTATTTTCTAGCATTGGTTTCAACACTTTATATTTCCCCAATTATGGCCCATAAGATGCATCCTTAAGATATTTACCACCTCCATATCAGAGCTACAGACACCATGGCTCTATAAATCTGCTTGATTTACACAGCAAACCAGGACCAGCGCTGAGATCAGATTTTACCATCTTCATCTCAGCACGGACCAAACGCTCCATTCAATGCCCCATCAGAGCCAACAGCCATATTTGCTCAAAAGGCTTGGGTGCTCCCCAGAGTTTACGCCACTTTGACCTCTGTCTCCTAGAAAACGATCAGGAAGCACTGAAAACATTCTTTGACATAACCAACAAATACTGTACTTGTAGCCAAGAGTGGTTTCTTGACTAGTAGAGAATTTAGGGAAGTGATACTCAGGGTCAAATTTCCTTAGTGACTGACCTTAGTGACTGATGGTGTCTGTAGACACCATCAGTGTCTACAGACCTTGCTGTATTGCTACATTACCTTGAGGGTCTATTTTGGAGCTCCTCTTTTGAATTCAAACTTCAGTTCCAGGGCTGTGTTGTAAGTACAATTAGTTCTCCACTTTTTTCCTCCTTTGGAAGCTATTCTCTTGGAATTCTGGCAAGGATACTTAAGGTGTACAGCCCAGATCACTTTCACAGTCACATTCTATCTATGGGTTAGTCTGAAGTTAGTGTTGCCATCACAGACCTCACTGGGTGGCAGAAGAGGGTCATTTCTCCTCTGATTTCTAAGCACCAAGAGTCAGGTAGTGCCTCGAATCATCTCTGTTGGCTGCTCTGAGGAAAGAGGCCATCGGACCTTCAGGTTTTACTTTAGAACCAGGGAGCGTTGAATCAGAGCCTCTGGGGCTTCCGCCGAGTCCTCTCAGGTATCACTGCCCAGCCTCTCCAAATCAAACATTTCATCTCATGAAAGGAAATCTAAGCCCCCCTTCCAGCTGGCTGTCCCTCTAGTAGCTTCGTGACTTCAGACTGTGATTTGTTTGGAGTTGATGGATATTGTCTTGTTCTACACCAGTGACTTCCTTAAAAACTTCATTTCAGGCCAACTGCTCTTGCAGGCAGTCCTCATAATGATTTTGTTTTCTAAACGTCCAGTTCTCTTAAGTCTTCCTTGGTCAGTGTTTAGGACATGGTAAGGATCTTCACTTAGGTGTGTCGGAGTGTCCACGTGTGATGGAATCCTCCCTTGCGGTAACTGCCAGTTAGGGGTCTCACACCTACCAGGCACCCTTCCTGTAGCATCTAGAAACTGGAGGTGTGGGTTTTGGAAAAAAAGAAAAGTTACCAGTCCCACTCATTCAAGAGAGTAGGATGTATTCATCAGAATCATACCAAATTGCACATCAGGTTTCTATGCATCTATCTTATTAGCACTTTCTAACCTGCTGCTTGGCACACAGGAGGCTCTGAGTAGCTACAGGTTGAATAAATCAGCCTGCACTGCTTTTCTGTCTAGATTTGTTAGTGTGTGTGTTTGCACACACAAGGGAGTGCCAAGGTCAGCCCATTCGCTGGCTGTGTCTGCCTAATGTCCGTCAACAAAGAGAAGGTGAAATCATGAGGTAAAAGACATTTTTCATTTTCTTCCCTCTGACTCGAGGTGCACTTGTGTGAAAACCACAAGTTCTGATAGTGTCTTCTGATTCCCAAACACTTCCTCAATGAAGGGGCACTTCCAAAGCTCCTAACAAGAAGCCCTGGACAAGACTGAAGCTGTTTCTTAGGAATGAGTTTGAGGAAACATAAATGTGGGGAATTGAAACATATGCTCTGTTACTTGCAGAACATCAATGCAAAATATGCCCCAGGGAGCTAAAGTCTAAAGAAGCAAGTCTCAGCAGTTAAATCGTTCTCATGCCATCCATCCCAAATTGCTGTGTAGTGTCTGGCAATGGTATTTCTCAGAACGGTTGGGGTGGCCCCATGCTTGAGAAGTCATTTATTATGCAAAATATGAAACAAGAAATTCAGACAGGTGGTTCTGTTGTCATATCAAATAAAAGGCTGTCAGGGTAGCAGGTGGATTTTGGGGAAGAGTATATATTTCTTTAATCAGAGATAACTGATAAATGACATACTGAAAATGGATATTTCTTTAGAGGACTACACGCATAAAGATTTCCCACAGCACCTTTCATTCTTCATAAAATATAACTTGGCAGCAACATGCCCACCCCCCACGGCACTTGCCTCTGTGTTTGACTGTCCTGTCTCCCATACAGTTTGCATCTTTGAGGGGGAACGGGAAGTACATTTGAAGGATACTCATACAATTTCTGATTGAAAGAAAGAGGCAATAATATGAAGCACCAGTGATCCTGTAGATTCGGGTTGAATTTAGGAATATTATGAATACTCTTTTTATCTAAACACAGGGAATTAAGCTGACTTGAAATGAATGCAATCTGACCTGTTCCCCAAACAGCCATTTCTCAGAAGTCCCCCCACAGGCATATTCTGATTTGGTCTGGGGGCCTCACCACCAGATATTGGTGAGCCACAGAAGAGGACCTATCTGGCTTTTGTTTATTTATTTCTACTAGGAGCTGTGAATCCTGTTCATTCATTCATACAGTTGTGACTTGTTTTTGAGTGCCTACTCTTTGCCAAGCATTTTGCTCCATGTTATTGATTTAATAAGCCATTATTGTTTTTTCTAAATAGGCTGTATGATTTCATTTATTTAAAAAGTCTAGAAAAGGGAAAGTAATCAACATGTCAGAAAGCAAATAAGTGATCGTTTGGGCTGGCCATCGAAGAATTGATGTCCAAAGGACATGAAAGAACTTTTTGTGGCCACAGAAATGTTCTGAATCTTGATTATGATGGTGTTTACATAAGAGTATACATTTGCTAGAAGTTTACTGACGTGTATGCTCAAAATGGGCACATTTTGTCGCAGGTAGATTGTGCCTCAATAAAGGAGCAAAATAGGAAAAGAAAAAAGGGAACATAATAATGTTACTCTTTCGGGGTCACTACCTAAGATGGCGTCATTGCCTACTGGTAGCCACCTTGCCTCTGTATGTAAAGAAGAGGGACAGAAGGTCTCTGTTGTCATTATGGCCTAGATAGTTTAATAGAGAGGCAACAAAGAGAATACAAATGTCTAAGGTGTATACTCAGATTGACGTCCACACCTACTGTCTCTATCTCGTGTATTGCAATTTCAGCGGGACAGCAGGGAGGGACCTGACGGAGGCCACCTCATTCGGCAGCTACATGTAAAGAACAATGGGAAATGCTGGCAGGAGCCTGAGCAGGAGCCCCAAAGTATGGCAATTACAGTTCTCCCACCATCGACATTAGGGTCTGGAACATAAATGGATACCCTTGCTGAAAAGCTATAAGCAAGATTTAACTGTGCCTCATTCTTAGTGCTCTAGTGAAAGATACTGATGATAACTAGCATGTTACTGAATAATGCTCACAAATGTGAATCAGAAATAACTTGTTTTGCAATGAATCTTGCATTCCTTGATTCTATAGTAGCTAACACGCACATAGAAGGGTATCAGGAAAGCTTGCCATCTCTAGATTGAAATTATCATCAGCAACCTGAAAGCTTTCTGTGCGATTACATTAGCTCTAATGAAAGGAGAAAAGGTGAGAGCTGCATTATTCAAAGAATAGGAGGATGCCCTGAGATTCTATTTTGCAAAGATCTTACTGTGTCTCTATTGGATTTCCTTTTATAAACAGGAAACTACATTAAAGAGAATCTCTGCCCTCTCTACACTCCTCTCTCTTGGTCAAAGTGAAATATTTACTTCACAGCAACCAAGAGGAGAGGGGACATTTCACATGCACGTGATGTGCCTCTGTCCCCTCTCCCTACATTGAATGATTTTACTAAAGCAAAGCTATTGAGGTTTTTGCTACTTGACATTTACATGAATATGGTTATGTCATCTTTAACCTTAACTGTCTAGCTTCTGTTTGCAAATATAGGACCAAATATAGGACTGGTTGTATAAGAACCTATCATAGTCCTGAACTTAACTCTGCTTTTTCGTTCTCCAGTTTTCTTGATAGAATGTGGTACTAAATTGATAACCTCCCTAAACATTATTTATGAGAGATTTTCATTCCAGGCTTTAGCAAAGGGTTAGATGGTTCACCCATCATCCCAGATACCTTTTCAGGAAATGGGTGGAAACAAGATAAATACCTTTTTAATTTTGGAGCAGGTTAACTGAAACATTGATACACTCGTATTCTTGGATGGGTTTGATGGTGCCTGGTCTCAGGACACCCAATCTTTTAAGCGAATTTAAAAAATGCTAGGGAGACTTTAAATAAAAAGTACTTTGAGTACATAGTTGAATAACATGGCCCATCTTATGTCACTGTTAGGAAACTGCTTTTCCCATTATTATAAACTTCCCAAGGATTGAGATTTCATAAATTGCTGTGAGATAGTCCTATTTTGTATCTGTAAGGTGCTCAGCTGACGTGCTTCAAGATAATTGGAAAATCTACAAGTAACCTCTCGGCTCTTTCTATTTTAGGGGTGAGTTTACTCATACCACATGGCGCCATCCCAGAGGAGAATTCTTGGGAGATATATATGTCCATCAACCAAGGCGAACCCAGGTAAGAGACAAAGAAGGGTGGCATATTAATGACATGTTAAATATGGAATGGAGCTTCTGCAGGAAGTCCGAGCTTACTAAGATGATGTGACATGGAGGTGTGTAGGTGACACAGGGAACTACTTGATGATACAGAGGGAAAAACTGGTTGCAAAGTTGGCTAGAATGAAAACAGATACCACTAGGTCCACATTTTTTGGTGAAAAAGTTAAACAGCCAACATTTAGACAGTAGACACCAAATGTAAAACAGTGAGCCTGTAGTCAAATCATAAACGGGACCTCTTCATAAACACTGACTGCCTCACATAGTCATCCCCCTAAAAGAAAAAAAAAAAGCCCCGCACATTCCTGCAGGTCCTTTTTGGTGCTGGGCATTATGCAAATACAGAGGATGATTGACCCGGGACCTTTTAAGGTCTCCAGAAAACCAGGTATGAGCTGAGAGAACATTTCATAGGCAATTTTCCTCACTCTAAAAATACAGTCTATGCTTCAGTGGCTTTCAGGTCTGACAAATTTCTGCAGCATTAAATTCAATTACATGAACAAATACAAATCTTGTCACATACTCTTTTAATGAAAGTAGTTGGTTATTTTCTTGGCGCAAGTGTAATATTTGTGGAAATGTCGCCTTCCTCCACACAAGATAAACCAGACTCCTTGAAAGAAACCAATTTCTCTTATAAACTGGATCTATACCTCTGGCATTTTCAGTCTTAACATCTTGGTCATTTCAGAATAGAATTTCTTGTTGTTAGCAAAGAACACATGAAGGAAAAACACTGTAAGGAAAAACAACCAGAGCGGCAGATGGTTTGAGCAGATTTTTAAGAGCTATTGCTGTAAAAGGAACTGTTGGAGTCCAATGGTTTTAGCCTTTTGCTCTAGTGGGCTTAGGATCAGTGGAAGAAAGGGCTCTGCTGGTTGGCTGTTGGCGAGGCTCCTTGAGGATTGGTGGGTAAGCTGTGCGGGTTGGGCTCTTGTTATTTCTTCAGTCCTGTGGAGCTGATGCTTTATCGGTACACCTGGAGACATGCTAGTGTTTAAGTATCCCCACTTGGCACAGAGGGGAAACCGAGGTGCAGAAAGGTTTGAAGAATTTATTTGAAATCTGTTAAGCAGACCTGAAACTGGAGTATTTTGGAGAGAATCACCACTTTTTTTTATCCCTTTGGTTGATTTATATAAGAAACTGTACCTATTTAAAGTTAAGGCCATGGTCAATTACATATATGCTTGTAAACATATCTTTTTTATTGAAATATGGTTAATATACAATATTAGTTTCAGATGAACAACTTAGTGATTCAGCAATTACATACATTATTACATGCTCACTGTGATAAGTATAATTACCATCTGTCATCATAAACAGATTTTAAATACTATAATCCATATTCTATAGGCTATGCTTCTATCCCTGTAACCAAATTATTTTATAATACAAAGTTTGAACCTCTTTATCCCCTTCACCTAGTTCACCCATCCCCAGAACACTCATGGTAGTGAACCATCCATTCTCTGTGTTGATGTGTGTATTTCTGGTCGGTTTGTTTTTTCAGATTACATGTTAGTGAAATCATACAGTATTCCTCTTTCTCTGACTTATTTCACCTCTAGGTCTATCCATGTTGTCACAAATGGCAAGATTTTTTATTTTTAATGGCTGAATAATACTCCATTGTGTCTATGTATATCTTCTTTATTCATTCATCTACTGATGGACACTTAGGTTGCTTCCATATCTTGGCTATTGTAAAGAGTGCTGTGATAAACATAGGGGTGCATCTGTCTTTTCAAATTGGTGAATTTGTTGTCTTCACACAGATTCCCAGAACTAGAATTGTTCTGTAATATGGTATTTCTGTTTTTAGTTTTTTGAGAAACCTCCATTCTGCTGTCCATGGGGGCTGCACCAATTTCAAATCCCTCCAACAGGGCACAAGGGTTCCCTTTCTCCACATCCTTGCCAAGAGTTGTCATTCCTTGCCTTGTTGATACTGGCCATTCGGACTGGTGTGAGGTGGTATTTTGCAGTTTTGATCTCCATTTCCCTAATGAGTAATGATGTTGAATACCTTTTCATGTGCACGTTGGCCATCATATGTCTTCTTTGAAAAAATGTCTGTTTGGGTCCTCTGCCCACTTTTGAAGTGGGCTTTCTTTTTGGTGTTGAGTTGTATGAGTTCTTTATCTAATAATTATATTAGCCCTTTATCAGATATGTCATTTGCAAATATTTTCTCCCATACACTAGGTTATCTTTTTCTCTTGTTGATGGTGTCCTTTGATGTGAAGAAACATTTAGTTGTGATGTAGTCCAATTTATTTACTTTTCTTTTTGTTTCCCTTGCCCACAAAGAAGTATCCAGAAAAAAATTACTCGTGTTATGTTCAAGAGATTCCTGCCTATGTTTTCTTCTAAGAGTTTTATGGTTTCATATCTTACATTTAGGTCTTTAATCCACTTCGAGTTTACTTTTGTGTACGGGGTAAAACAGTGATCCAGTTTCATTCTCTTGCATGTAGCTGTCCAGTACTCCCAAAACCATTTATTGGAGAGACTGTCTTTTCCCCAATGTATTTTCATGGTTCGTAATATCATTATATTAAATGACCTTATACGTATCAGTTTATTTCTGAGTTCTCTATTCTGTTCCATTGGTCTGTGTATCTGTTCTTGTGCCAGTATCAGACTCTTTCATTTACTGTAGCTTTGTAGTAGAGTTTAAAACAGGGAGCATGATACCCCCAGCTTTATTATTATTTCTCAAGATTGCTTTGACTACTTGGTGGCTTTTGTAATTCCACATAAATGTTAGAATTATTTGCTCTCCTTCAGTGAGAAATGCCGTGGGTATTTTGATAGGAATTGCATTGAATCTGTAGAATGTTTGAGCAGTATGGTCATTTCAACAATATTAATTCATCCTATCCATGAGCATGGAGTAGCTTTCCATTTATTTGTGTTGTCTTCATTTCTTTTATCAGTTCTATAGTTTGTATCCTGCAACTTTACTAAATTCCTTTATTAACTCTAATAGTTTTTTATGGAGTCTTTAGGGTCTTCTATGTATGATATCATATCCTCTGCAAATAGTGGCAGTTTTATTTCTTCCTTACCTGTTTGGATGCCTTTTATTTGTTTTTTGTTCTTGTCTGACTGTGGGACTATGTTGAATAGAAATGGTGAGAACAGCCATCCTTGCCTGACCTTAGAGAGAAAGCTATCAGTTTTTCACCTTTCAGTGTTGATGTTCACTATCGGTTTGTCACGTAAGGCCTGTATTACATTGAGATACAAGCCCTCTATACCTACTTTATTGAGAATGGGTGTTGAACTTTATTAAATGATTTTTCTGCATCTATTGAGATGATCATATGTTTTCTATCATTTTTATTGTTATGTGGTGTATCACACTGATTGATTCGTGTATATTGAAACATCCTTGCATCCCTGAGATAAATCCCACTTGGTCAAGGTGAATGATCTTTTTAATGTATTTTAAAATTTGGTTTGCTAATGTTTTGTTGAGGATTTTTTAATGTGTGTCCATTAGGCATATTGGTCTGTACTTTTCTTTGTTCTATAGCATACTTGTCTGGTTTCGGTACCACAGTAATGCTGGCCTCATAGAATTAATTTGGAAGCTCTCCTTCCTCTTCAGTTTTTTGAATTGTTTGAGTAGGACAGGTCTCAACCTTCCTTAAAGGTTTGGTAGAATTCACGTGTGAAGCCATCTCATCCTGAGCCTTTGTTTGTTGGGAATTTTTTATTATAGGTTAAGCTTCATTACCAGTAATTAGTTTGTTCAAACTTTCTATTTATTCCTGGTTCAGTCTTGGAAGGTTGTATGTTTCTAGAAATTTATGCATTTCTTCTATGTTGTCCAATTTGTTGGCATATAATTTTTCTTAGTACTCATAACCATTTATATTTATGGTATCAGTTGTAACTTCTCTTTCCTCTCTGATTCTGAGTCATCTCTTTATGAGTCTAAGTAAATATTTATCAATTTTGTTTATCTTTTCAAAGAACCAGTTCTTGGTTTCATTAATTGCTTTATTGTTTTCCAGTCTTTATTTCATTCATTTCCATTCTGATCTTTGTTTTTATTTCCTTTTTTCTACAAACTTTGGGCTTTGTTCTTTTTCTGTTTCCTTAAGATGCCAGGTTAGATTGTTGGGGATGTTTCTTGCTTATTGAGGTAGGCCTGGATTGCTACAGACTTCCTTCTTAGGGCTGCTTTTCCTGCATTACAAAAATTTTGAACTGTTTTATCTCTTTTCATTATTTTTCAAGTACTTTTTTATTTCTTCTCTGATTTCTTTGATCCATTGATATTTTTAGTAGAATGCTGTTTAGCCTCCACATGGTTCTAAATGTAATTGGTTTTACTACTTTTGTGTTTTTGACCTTCATACTAGCTTTTAAGTGATTGGTTTACTACCTCTGTTATGTGTTTGTTTTTACCAATAAAATTTTCCTTTCGTTAGGATATTTTCTTTTCCTCTTAGGACCCTTTAGCATTCTTTCCAAGGCCAGTTTAGTGGTGGTGAACTCTTTTAACTTATGTTTATCTGTGAGGCTGTTTATCTCCCCTTCCATTCAG